TGGTAAAATTGAAGTTCTCCAAAATGCTGAGCACATTCGCCACCACACTGCCACTACTAATAGGTGGTACGGAGTATAGCGTATCATTACCCAATTGCATGGTTATGGAGCTAACTAAGTCAGCAACATATGTTTCTAAATCATATAATGTTATGGGACTACCTAAGTCCTTTAAGTCCTCTGCTACGAGCTTAGCAAGTGTACCATTATAAAAATCGAGTGGTCCATTTTCTGCTAATAATTCATAGGTACTGCAAAGCTCTTTCGGTGGTTTCAGTTTTGTACCAATTGGATGTAGTTCCCCAGTAGTTTCATTAAGGAATACATTTCTTTAAAAGAATAAATTTTTTATTGTATAATAACCAAGAATTTATTAAGATTTTCTTTTCCTTACGTGATGACGGTATTATTTAGTAAATGCTTTCGTTTGTACTGGAATGCATTCCATTGATGTTTACTTAAATAGAAGCCTTCATTGCATATCTTAATTGATGGTTCAATTAATTGCTTCCATGTTAATTTACCAAAACGTTCATGTGCTCGATGATAACCCATTAATTCACCGGGCACAGCTATTGCTAGTCCACCATGCAAAGATAAATTAGAGTTATTGTCGAACATATCCTGAACGGCTGAAAAAGGCGCAACTTCGCGTGCATCAATCGAGAATGCATGCTTTTGCTCCTTAATGTAAATGTTCATCAACATGCCACCACCAATGCCCATGCTATGCATGGTTACCACACCATTGCACAACATTGTAGCGATGGCCGCATCCACAGCGCTGCCTCCTTCTTCCAATATATGGCTGTAAGTGAATTGAAATTGATTCATAAATTGAGTTCATATATGCGGAAGTATTTTTTATTGAGAGCATGTTATCGGTACTTTTATTAAGAATTTTAGGATTTAGGTTAATTAATGTAACATATTTATATATATTTATAAATAGTTATATGTCCTAATCTTATATTAGCACTTCTTGCAATCATAAGTATTAATTTAGATTTTATTTAATATTTATTATTATATAAAATAAAGTAATTAATTTTTAATTAATTTAATTTAATTTTATTCCCTATAATGAGAAATCCAGTTCCAATAAGAAAGTGGGTAATAGTAATGAAATTTTTAAATCCGAGCAAAAAATTTAATGAATTGTATACTTGTGCTGATAATATATGAATCTTATATTAACTTCTGAAATATATTGTAATTATCCCTACATTTTTTTTTTTATATTTTTAAATATATGTTTGGAGAGGTTTTGAATAGTAGTGAATTGCAAAAACAACAATTTTTATTTTGTTTTAATTAACTGCATTTATGGCTGACCAATTGTTTTTTATATTTAATTATTTGTAAATAATTTTTTTTTGGGTAAAATAATCACTGCCATCATAACTGACGTTAAAATCCAATTTAAAATATTTTTTTTAAATTATTTCATTTTAACAATCCGAGGTAACTTTATAGCTTTCATAAAGAAATTTTCTGTCAAAATTTGTCAATAAAGGATAAAACTATGTATAAGTAGTTTATACAAAGAATTAGAGAGAGATCTATTAAACTAGCTTAATTTGTGATGTTATAGTCATTAATTATAACTAATGGCTGTAGGTAGGTAGGAAGTGCTAACTGGACGAGTTCACGTATAGATCTGATGGGTTCGTAGCGATACTAAATTGTTGATTTTAAAAACAATTAGTGTCAGTATAAATTGTTTAAAATGTGTATGTCATTACAAGGCAGTTCATTCCAACATCATTGGAGAAGTTTAGTCCTTGAAAATGGATAGCTTCAAAAAATTTTCTTCTAGTTTTTGACAAAGCCAAAAAGAAACTATGGAGCTATTTCAGAGTTTCATTAATACCTGGTTTCTTAAATTTCCTACAATCGTGACAGCTGGTAATATTTATTATAAGTTACGCGTATGTGTTGCAACTCACAGTGTCTTGCTAAAATATCAACTTGCACAAACAATTCTTTCGATCATACAACAGCACAGATTTGATGCATTTTTCATTGGTATGTGCTTGAACATGGTATTGAAGCTTTACAGGTATTGAAGCTATACCACCTGTCCTTTCTTTTTCGGCCAAACGAATATGTCTTAATTGGACCTCTGCAAGGTTAGCCTACGAGAATTGATTATATTGACTTGTTACATCATTCAACTTGAATCTTCTTACATATGTTATTTTGTAATGGGTTTATATAATATAATATAACAGAAAAAATTTTTTCTTCTTTCTTTTATTCTTATTCTTTGGAAAATTTGTTTTCAATTTTATTGCTAAACATTTCAACGTGGCCTGAAATTCCATATTTGAATATTTTGGTTAAGCATATTTAACTAATCATTTCATCACCATTTGTATCATTTTTTATAATAAGAATTGAGTAAGTCAATACCTGCTTGGGCTATCATTAGGACTGATATTGTGGTTCTGATAGTTATGTTGAAGCTTGAATGAACCTATCTATCGCATAAAGAAGGAAGGAACCACAAAATCAAAGATATTTGTATTTAAGATTTTTATATTGAATTTATAACTACATACATAAAGTTTTTCAAAGACTGAAATGAAATATTTACTGGATCAGTGAGTTGCTTTTTTTAGATATATATATATATATAGCTTCTTATGGAGATACCTTTGAAGATAGAGGCATATGACAAAAATTTTAGTGAATTCTTTAAGCTTCTAGTGACTTATGTTTTTTTTGTTTACAATGTTAATTTTTGTATTCCTATATAGAATCCAGTATTTAAATTTAAATGTCCTATAAATGACGTCAAAGTAGATCCTTGATATTACTTACTACTCACATTTTATGATGTTAAATGTTTAAATAAATTAAAATAAATAAATGACTTTAAACAATCTCTTTAATATCACCAAACAGTAAAAAAAATATATTAATGTGAATATCACAATGTCATAATATCAAAATTTGTTTTCAACAAATACTTTGTGCCAATCTATGGGAGCTTTAATGCAGAAGTAAATAACCATATGAGAGTATTATAAACTCTAATTACAAATAATATTAATATTTACTATATAATAGAATTTTTACTATAGAATCAAATTATAATATATATAAACTTATTGATTTGATTTCTCATACCTCAATAACTTAAATAAAAACAAACTTATAACAATTCTAATGATTTTGCCATTGGTAAAATATTGGCATTATTAACTGAACATTTTATGTTTATGTAACGGAAAAGTTTATTATAAAGAAAGCAATACAAAAATGCTGTTTCAAATAATAACAATGCAATGAAAACTTGTTGCTATGTTAAACATTAATAGAATTCAAATCTATTGTTAAAGTTTACAATAAAACGAGCAAAATTTATTCACAATAGGCAATTGCAACCTTACCTGCCAACTTGACTGCAAACCTCCTTATCTGAGCATACAGCCGCCTGCTCAAACACACCCAATTTGGATTCGAAATTTGTATCTGTAATTGGTGTATCGTGGAGTAAATCGGCTTTCACTTTGGATGTGCTCTTGCCAGTTTTGGGTTCTTCTATTGTTTCGACGGTAGTTGGGGCCAACGAAGCAGCTTTTGTGCTAGAGTCTTTGACTGTTGCTGAGGTGGTTTGAGTTACTGTTGTCGCGGTCTTTGTTGTCGTCTCCATCACGTGTTTTCCACTCGAACCAAACGAAGCTACATATGTAACATTGTTGTTATTTGCATCAACCTCTCGACTTGTTGAATCTTCATCTGTAATTGTGCTGTCATTTTTTTGACTACTACCGCTGCTCTTACTGCTAACAATGTTGTCGGTATCATCTGGTAAAAGAGAAGTGTTAGTGGAAGTTGTTGGGGAAGCTGAGTTTGTTGACTTTGACCAGTCTACGGAATGAGAGAGACAATCACGGTATGCAAAAGGTGTAAGTTGTGTAGGTTTGTACAGTGCAATTGAGTTTTGGTAATATATTTAAAATATAAAATAATATGTTTGAGCAAAACTAATTAAAGTGGTTTAAATTTAATTAAAAAACTTACCACTAAAACATAAACTAATTATAACGTAGCTAATAAGTGCAATACCAATGAAGCAGATGAGCACAATTGTTAATTTTTTAACCCATTTTAAGATATTTGCACGCCTTCAAAACATAAAAAAATTTAAATTTAATTATTTTTTAAATATTTTAAAATTAAGTTAATAGTTTTATTAAATTAGTTTGTGCAATAAACAAATTGAAATGAATTTTTTACACACATTTGTTCACGTCTGGCTTCCTCAGCAGCTGTTGTATCGTGCACAAATTCACCGCCATTTTTTTCCTCATCATCCAAACCGGATGAGGATTTAAGTGGAATTTTATTCATGGCATCATCATTGCTGTGCACCATTTTTAAGCCATCAGCTCTATATTCAATAAAAATCAAAAAAACAAAAATAATAAATATTTTTAAATTTAATTTAACAACACCTAAAAATATGCTACAAATTAAAAACGTTTAGCAAGAGAAACGCACACACATACACCTTCAAACAAAATCGCGTACACAAAACAAATCTACAGCAGTGTTTGTGCACACGGCAACCGCTAGATTTCAACTGAACATAATCCTGCAGCATTGAAAGCATAAACAATGCGAACGAACAAACTTCAAAGTCATTCGGCGTCGAGTGGACTATTCACACACACACACACACAGCCGAACTTACCAGAGTATACTCTCTCACACACAGCAAACGTGCGAATAACACCGCAAATACTTGCTTGCCTGTTTAAATACATGTAATTACTTGCAATTACTTGAGCAAAACATAAACACGAAACAGGCATGCAAGTCTGCATTTACGGCAGGAGCAAAACGGGATAGGAATGCTTTTGAATGAGAACACGAATGTTTGTTTGAAAACTGGGTCACACGGCTGTGGTGTTTTGCTCTGTTTTTCTTCTTACCACAATTGAGTGTCGTGAACATACACACTCGCACACCAATTGAGCGTGTGTAATGCAAATGGCAACAGTGTTTTGCACGCAAATGCATTAGGTTATGTATGAAAAATGCAATTATTTGAGTATGTGGAGTTGTGAATATGGGCCATACCCAAGTCTTAATAGGTGTAAATGCATACTTGCATATATGCACATTATTTAATTCCACAGAACTGCATTTAAATCGTGCAGGTATTCACACGAATTGGTAACAAAATTAAAATAAAAAAGGGGAAAAATACGTTAATTAAGACTTTGTAGGACAATAATTATAGCCGCGAATTACACTGAAATAACAAAATATAGGCAAATAGGTTAAAATGTAAACTCTTTTAAACACTTTCATTTTAAGTATCCTTAATAGTTTTGTTAACCGAAGTATTAAGGAAACGCGATTTAACTTAAACTAGAAAACATAAATTAGAACTTCAAAATTTATTGTTGGAGTTGAATTTTATTGGGTATTCTAATAAAGTTGTAGCAGGTGTGACTTTTCAATGAGCACGAAGTGTAAAATACTTTAACTGTTACAAACATACATACATATGATTAAATAGTATTACGAAGTTTATTTATTCAAGTGTCCGTTTTATTCAAGTGTCTTTTTAGTCTTTCTTTTACTAAAATGGATTATATAGGACTTGTATATTAGAGAGATACTTTTTAAAGAATAGTTTTTAAATAATTATAAAAAATAGTGGTGGGCCATATAAACTATCTTCTATTTTCTGGCAGCTTGTGTGTATCATCAGTTGAAAAGTTTCGTTGACTCTTTTAGTGACTAGTCACCAGAGTGAGGTGCATCTTTGATATCGAAATTTCAGAAATGGAATCGAGGGAACCACCACTAGATCCAACGTTCACTCGAAGCAACCTTACTGTAAAACGCAGAAATTTTTCGTTATAAGTTTGTAGCAGTATCCAATATTTTTAGTAATGAAGGATTTTTGAGATACTTTAGTGCTTCCTCACTTTTGTAACAGTATCCAGTATTTATAGTATTCAAGCATTTTTTGGATATTTCAGTGCTTCACAAAAAAATGGAGTCGGAAATGTGACCTTTAATACAAGTGCTCATTAGAGATAGTCGTGTTGGTGATGTCATATAATCGGTTAGTGGTATCCATATACCAAAACCATCTAGTGACAAAAACCAGCTGATACTTTCTATTTTAACTAATATAAAATAAAAAAATTAGAACATATATTAATTCAACGTCTACTACTATACAAGTGTATAGTAAGTGGAAGTGTAGGAATTATGTATCATGGTTTTCTATAATCTGTGTATATTTATGACAAAATATAAAATCTTTTTCTCTTAAAATTTAAGAGGAATAAACATCAGAAT